GTGAAGGACAGTTAACCAACCCCTCATTTGACCTTAAAATCCCCTTGATACAACTTTACCCCCCCCCCCCCCCCGCCCCCCTTACAACCCACGTGAAGACTAACACCCTGAAGGATGATTCAAATAGAGAAAGTGAGTATCAATATGTCACTTCTAGTGTGTGGCCCGGCCCTTTGTTTATTTTTCTGTATTTGGCCCCCAATAAAAAAGTTTGGACACCCCTGTTCAACACAAAATGACTTTCAACCTACTACTATATTTCTGTGAGCATGTAAATTAAAATTTGTATTTTATCAAAATGTTTTTTACATGCAGGTCACAAAAATGTATGATGTTTATAAAACACAGTGATTGACACATTTTTCTTTCTTTATGCAAAACAAGGTACAAGAATGGCTACTTCTCAGCACAGGTGAGAGATGAGGTGAAACAGCTCCTTTTGGTCAAACCTGCAGAGAGGGAGACCAGATGCACACCTGTGGATGAAGAACCTGTTGGAGGATCATCAGCTGAACTTGGACCTCCTGACACAGATGACCCTGCAGCCAAAAGGTTCAGTCTACTGTTTGCAGTACACAATGAAATCCTGCAGGAGAACATAGATAAGGAGCAACAGCTGGCCAGCCCTTCAGCCATGCAGGTACAGAACTACTTATCTGAGGTTCCAATTGACAGGAACCAGGACCCAGTGGCCTACTGGCTCAATGAAAATCGTTTCCCTCATCTTGCACTACTTGCCCGAGCCTATCTTTCTGCCCCATGCACAAGCATTGAAAGCGAGCGCCTGTTTAGCTTGGCCGGACATGTAGTAGATGAGAAAAGAAGTCGCCTGTCTGGTGAAAAAGCAGAAATACTTTTGTTCGTCAAGAAAAACTTGCCGTTCATGTGCAAGTGACTGCAATTAGTCTGTGAGAACAAACTAAGATGTGCCTTATGTTAATTGTTACTACCCTTGGACTGTTGAAATTGTGACATGTGCTGCACTTTATATTTATTTTTAAAATTTTTGGCTTTTAGGAGCTTTTGTCCTGTAAGTGTTTGCAGGTTAATATTATTTTTCATGGTTTACATTTAAATAGCCACAAAACTGCTGCATTAGAGCATCTGCACTACAAGGAAACCCAAAACTCAAAACACTTCATTGGTTGTTTAGGTTGGCTTGTTTGTCCTTAACTGACCTCAAACCTTGTAATTTTGTAAAAGCAAAATACTGCTGCTGACTTTTGGTAAGAGGCTTAAACATAGGTCTGTAGTCCAACCTGTTTAAGTTTTGTTTTTTTAATATGAAAAATCAAAGAGTAATTGAACTCAATTTTGTTTAGTTAATTTAGTAGTTCAAACAGCAACGCTAAACGTTCCATTTATGTTTCACAGCACTACCTCAGTTAAAGCAAGTTTGTATTGTTTCAAGGGTATTGTTCAATAGTTTTCAATAAAATAAGATTGGAACATTGAAGACATATTGTGACCTTATAACACCTGACTGTGTTGGTTTTAAATCAGTATCGGACAAAATTGGAATCAGGAGGTCACAGACTTTTTAAAGATCGAAAATCGGAGATCGGCAAGAAAACTGCAATCGGTGCACCCCTAATGGCATGGCGTTTGAACTCAGTGTCACAGCATGGATTAAATGTCTGACACCTTCACATGTTCATCTGCAAGGACTTTGTCTGCTCCTGTTTGTGTGTCTGATGTCAAGAAGAAGTGACATGTTCACCTTCTTCAGAACACTTGATGCTTTTCATTCATCCATTCATACAAGTCTAACATGACCTCACATATGTGTTTTACTGATTTGTTTATATCCTGCTAATCTTTATACATCCTTTAGCAAATTCAGATTTTTAAATCCCTCTGACTCTTGCTTATGGTTGACCTCAAAACCTGACAGAAACAATAAGATCCAAAAAGAAAAACGTCCAGAGTTGTGATCACAGATTATTTAAACTCAGCTGACTACAAATGGATTTACAGGTCTTTAAATGCAGCCAGATCTTGAGGATCTGTTCATTTCCCAGAGTCCTTCATTGGTAAACATTTAATCATGTGATATTGCCAGTGACAGTGTGGTACATTGTCATGTGCTGCTGTACTGCCACAGCCTTGCCTGCAACACCCTCTTCTGCTAAACATTATATTTGACAATCACAAAAAAAACTGCTGTGCTCCCTCCCTTTGCTTGTTCTCTATGGAAAGGTAATGAAGGAGTGTCTCTGCATCAGTGTGAAACACGAGCAATAAAAAAAAGGAACAGAAGCAGTAATTTAATGTCCCTGTTGCAGAGGGTTTTTAGTTTTTGAGACAAGTGTTTCTTCTGGAATGGAATAAAACTGAAAAATGTAAATAAACCTTTCGATTTCTGTCAAAAGATATTGAAGTGGGTAGGAGTTAAACTGTGTAGAAGAACAGAGGTAGTTTTTTTTTCTCGTCCAAAGCAGCTCAGAGTGATGGATCCTGGCCAATGGCGGTCTTAACCATCATAAATTAGATATTTGGCCACCCCAATCATTTGAAGAAAAACTACACTTTTAAGCAATGTACAAACTAGAAAGCATAGTTTCCTCAAATGATCAGGTTGCCTGGTTTACTTAAATACAGTATATTGTAGTGGCCATATTGAATTTTAACATAGCAACCCAGTTTTTGGTGGTGACCTTTCTTCATTGAGTACACAGCAGTTTTATGTTTCATCACCTCATAACTGCTTAAACATAAAAATAATGACATGGAGTGAGAAAAGAGAAAATGAGTACAACAGCTTGAGAGGAAATTATGGATAAAAGAGAAAAGATCATATCAGCAGCTTGGGTACTTTAATCATCCTTCTTCCGCCTAGTCCTTATTTCAAATAAGTAAAACAAAAAACTAATTAACAATTAAAACTGTGAAGCAGTTATGACTGGGGTCCAAGTCTGTTTAGGTACATCAACCTTGGCTTATGTCATTTCCAGCTTACTGCTGCCCTTGTGCAGAGCATGATGGGGAGTATTTATAAGGTCTGTTTGGGGACTTAGGTCGTATTCTCACCTGATAGTCCGGTAGACTCGGTTTGATTGGGGACCAAAACTGCAAGCTTTGTTTACATTTTCAGTTGGTGTGGTTTACATTCACACAGCACTTTCTCAACCAAACTTAACCCTGTAAACAACCTGTTCCCGCCCTCACCTGTGGGGGCGCTGCACAAAGAACCACCAAAGAAATCAACATGAAAACCTCAGTAGAAGACATGGAGCGCAACCTCCTTCTTCACAAAATGTAAACGAACAATAGTAACGTTACATTTTAGTGGTTATAGGGTTTGCTTTTTGTTTTTGGCAAACATGCCAAACAAATAGTCTTCAACGATGAGCTCAGCATGAGAGGAAGACGTGGCGGAACCGTGGAGAATATTGTTTTGCACACAAGGCGGCTGAGGAAGCTCCGTGTTAATTGAGTAGGAGCTCCATAGTCATGATGTCCAACTTATTCAGTCGTCCAACGAGGTATTTACACAATATAAGTAAATTTAATATTGTTATTACTCAGAATGCCATGCGGTACAGTCCGCTTCCTGCTGTTGGAGCAGTCTCTGGTCCACTTGGCATTCACACATGCAATCAAACTGCACCAGAGTTTGTTTCAGTGGAACTGAGACCTAGGTTTTCAGGCGATCCAGAGTTTGATTATGCGTTCACACCTCCCCAAACGAACCGGACTTTCCAGGCAAACGAACTAGAGTTTGATTAAAGCGGACTAAACAGGGCTGGTGTGCACACAACCTTAGTGCCTCAGCATCTCTTAAGCTCTTTCTTCACAGGTGTTTGTATATGTTGTTCTCATCAATTCAGGGTCGACCATATGTGACTCGGCTCCAACTGTGATTTTGGATCTACCTCAGCAGTGGTTCCATATGAGTATTGCACACAAGTGATTGGGTCTGTGTAGTTGTCTTGACCTGTGGGTTTATGTGTATTTCATAGTCTCAGTGGGAGTGCTTGTGAGTGTGTGTGCATGTGTTTGTGTCAACAGAACCTTTCAACTGCCTATATCAACTGAAAATTAAAAATAAATAAAAAATCACTAGATTGTCAAACAAGATTATTTTACACAATCAGTCTTTGTTTAGTAAATCAGTCTCAAAACAAGATCAAATAGACATTTTGGCTGGATATAAGATTTTAAAACTTGGTTAGGTGGACATTTTTTGCAGTGTAGTAAACATGGTTCTGGAGTAGGCTGGACTGGAACCAGCAGAAGGTTGCACTGATCACGTCTGGATAATTATCTGTTGTTTGTTTCAAACTTCATCAATACTCAATATTCCTTTCACCAAAAAATACATCACATTTTTCCACATGTGACTGCATTTAGTGACTCAGACATGTTTTCTGTGTTCATATAACGTGTTCATAAAATCCATGAGAAGTATGTGTGTGTGTGGGTGGGGGGTGTCTGTGAGGGAGGTCAAAGACGCCATAAAAATCTTGATATTGAAATTAATAAGTTACAAAAGCAGAAAACTCAAAGTAACCCTGAGAGAACCAGTAGATGTGACTCACCTCCACTTTGCTTGTGGGGTCCGAGGGGATGGGCAGCAGCAGATCACGCCAGATGACCTCATTGTTCTCAATCCGGGTCTTCTCAATATTACTTGTTGAATGAAAAAGTGACATTTTATAATCTTTTTTAAAAAAATAGATTCTCTCTAGTTCTGACAGATAACAGTCAACATTATTTAGACCCAAGCATCATCTTCAGGTGATATTTCTATGAACTAGTGTTACAGTTTGAACAGAAATGAAGCACTTGAGATCAAACTTACGTGTTGAAATAACTGAGTATGTCCATCACAGATCCATCTGGTGGTTGAACATGACTTCCACTGATACAAACAGCACACCTGAGCTGGGAGAAACAATCAAACTCATGAAACAAATGCCACTCCAAGTTTCTGCCCAGAAAGATGTGTCTTACCTTTACAACTTCGGAATAAACAGCCATTCTCAGGGTGATACTGGTGCCCAGTGACAGACCCAACATGGCGATTCTGCTGCCAAGGATCTGAGGATGCTGGGACAGGACTCTGTAGGCCGTCTACACAAGGAGAACGTGTTACAGCTACGACTCATTTTTAAGAGCGACGTTACACATGGTACAGCATTTAAAACAAAACATCACAGTGTGATCATCATGTAATCTTTTTTTTTTTACCTTGAACAACCCTGAGAGTCCGGCAGCCATTTTTTATTTGACAAATGTTCCATATCTGTCCAAGTGATGCTATTTCTTAACTCCAAAAGCTTCATGGACCTCAAAACAACTTAGTGCCTTAATCTAGTTTTAACCTGTTATCCCGCAATGTTCTGCCCAGCCCACAGTTCATCGCCAAGTTGTTGTAACCTCCTGCCTTTTTACAGCATCTCACACGCTGCCAGGGACTTTGAATTTGCAAAATAGGCCATTAAATCTATTTGATTGGTTGTCATCTTTAGATTAACACCCACGTCCAGAGCTAATAATGTGCTGCAAGCTCCTCATGTTCTACCTGCTGGACACGTGATTGACATAGATGTCAAGTTGTACAGACTTCCCATAAATCACACGGATTTTCCTCCATTTTGCAGGACATATAGGGCAATCTCACAGATTTTTTTCCAATCTCATGGATTTTTTGAAAAACTCAGCTTCAAGTTTATTTTACATCACTGAGCTTGTAGGACATAAAAATAATAAATTAAATAACCATCTCCCAACCCACTCTGCCTCTAGAAATAAGTTCTTTACGTCTATCCATCCTCCATCCCTGCTCTTCTGCACTGCAGGCGCTGTTATCTTCGATGGAGTATTAGAGCCACGCAATGAGATTTTTTAAAATGAGAACAATGTCATAATATTACAAGATTAAAGTCATAATATTATAAAAATATCATGAGGAAAAAATGTCAATCAGTGCTCAGCTTTATTCTGAATCCAGAGTTGTGTAGCTAATCAAGTTACCATTTCATGTGATGTGCAGCTTTTGGGCTGGAGATGTTAACTAATACAGAAATGAAACTAAAAAAAAAAGTTCTGGAACATTCAGACATTTTCCCCCTAAGTGGTGAGGACAGAGGACATGAAAAACATTGTTTTTATGGTGTATTTTTTTACTATTAGCTGGCTAAACCTGCAAAAACGTGGAAATACAGTATATTAGTTACAAAGTGTTTTGAGTTCTAAAAGACGAGGAAGAGCTAAATTTGTGATGAGGAAATTTCATAAAAGAAAGGATTATATCTTTGTTTTGGCTGCCATTGTGGATTACTTTTGGTCAGAAAGAGGTTAATTTGTGTATCAAACGTAAATGAAAAACATTTATTTTCTGCTGCTGGTGGTTTTATAAGCTGTGTCGATGTTATTCTTTGAAAAGCAAGGATTTATTAGCTTTTTTTGTTTGAAAATTTGCTTTATGTCCCCCATCTTTGATTCATGTTGCTGATAATTATTTTTGTTTTGCATTTTAATCATGCTGTGAGTAAATAAGAATAGGATTTATTTGGTTGATACCTTTCATTTGAGCCCCAGTAGAAGTTACTCTGTTGAAGCATTTAGGACCTACAATATTTGGAAAATTTGTCTAGTCTGAAAAACTATTATACATTTGTTCAAAAATTATATTGGATTAGCTGGAATGTATTATGTCAAAAATATTCATTTCAATGCTATTTTTATCCAGTTTGAACTGGTAATAGTTGGGAATATATTTTAGCCCAATTTCTTTTCCCTTAATGCACCTTTTCTTTCTTGTTCTGGGACACTTTAAAATGTCCTATAAAGGTTCAAGTTAGAGCGAAATCTTATTATTTTAGTGTATTTTAACTTCATTAATTAAATATTAGTTACAATTACAAAAATTATGACTGCTAAAGTTAAAAATTCAGATCGATAGCCTTACATAGAAGCTAGGCTTGTGAATTTACTCCGAAGAGTTCAATAGCTGTACTTAAGTTAATTTTAGAGTTTTGAGAAAATTTTTTGGCTGACAGTCTGTTCAGGTTTTTTGCATCTTTACATGTGAATTCAGCTCATTTAACAAACACTTGTAATACAATCGCAGAGAACATTGCTCATATAATCTACACATTTAAATAAGTACAAATAATTTCAATGGATGTTTTAACCCTCCTATCATCTTTGGGGTCAATTTGACCCCATTCAATGTTTATCTTTCAAAAAATAGTAAACTTTTTTCTTTTGCTTCATATTTCATGACTTGTCCTAATTTGATGGGGACAACTGATAAAACATAAAATTTTCATGATGATATTTTTTCAATGAGCTGAACACATACTGCACGCATTGGTCGTCAGTGTGTGTGACCTAACATGACCACACCTGCAGGTGCAGTTGATACATTTGAGTTGATATATTTTGTTTTATTTATTATTTATTTTGATACTTCCCGCACCATGGGCATGAATGTGTGTGAGTGTGACCTTCTGAACTCACACCTGTCAAAGTAGAACTGCTTTTTCCCACACTGTGGAGGGTGGGGTATTGACCCTTTGCACCCACCTGACAAAGTCACGTGATACCGGCATGTCGGTTGGCCGAAGACACGGAGCGGGGTTTTGAATTGAATGGCAGCGATTGTTTTATGAAGTTGTTTTTTTCCTTTTGCCATGGTTTGTACTTGTTCAAGTTTAGATAATTTATCTGTAGAAGTCACACACCTAGTTGGGGCTCACAGACAGCATTATTTACTGAAGTTGGACATAGCTAGATAGAAATCAACCCATATCTTCTCCCTCTGGACGTCGTGTTTGTTGATTTGACCAAAATGCAAACTTTGCCTGAATTCACACCACATCACTTATACCACTGTCATAAATGGTGTTTTCCCCTACACTGGAGCTGACAATAAAAGCATATAAAAGCCTGGATACTTATCAGTTTTTTGTTGCTGGATGGGTTGACTGGGACAGAGTGCTACTGTTACATGGAGGTACAAGAAATCTCATAATGGCGAAGGTAAGACTTGCTTGTTAATGCTAATGTATTTTAATTTGCCGATTCCATACGTGATTCTAGATGCTTTTCGGGTAACTGAGCACCTCGAAGCGGAGAGCCGACAATGCGGCTAGCAAGCTAACAAACTAGTAGCTTATCTTCATGTTAAACAGCTCCAGGTTACAACAGCGCTCCGAGCTGCGCTTCTTTCTGTTCGATATTTAGCTGAAATGATCCATTCCCAGCTAAATTAAAAAGATGAACAGCTTTGATGATCAGCTGGTCTGATTTTATGACCACCTGAATGTGCAACTAGTGTTTACTCCATCAACGTGGAAAATAAATAAATAAAAGCTTCTCCTCCGACCTTTCACTCAACAACACTGATTCAACATTGAGTAAAAACAACTATATTTCCAGCTATCACTGTTTATATCTTCACTATGACACAGAGTGCTGCGGGTGGGCAGACTGAGAGATTATAATGTTTTAGAACCAGCAGCGCAGCGATCCGAAACCGGAGTGACACTCTGGTCCGGTTAACCAGAGAGTCTCCAGATCTGGCTGACTGCGCAGCAGCTTAAGACTACGATAAAAGGACAAGTTTGGTTTGTTTACTTGTCTGTTTGTGCAACCGACTGTGCAGCAGCTGGGGAAAGAACGATATTAGGCTACCAACTGCCTGATTCTCCTCTAGCTGTAGCTTATGGACAGAGTGGCACATAAGCAGTGCGCAGGTACACATGCGCGGTCAAAAAAGGAAAAAGCGCACCAGATGTAACGTCATAAAGCTCCCTTGCGTACCTGAGATTATAAATGATTGTCTGTCAAAACAACAGCTAGCAGGGCTCTAGAGTGCGACTAGTGTGGTTGCAAATGCGACCTGATTTCTTAAAAAAATAAAAATAAAAAAGAATCCAGCCGCACTGGAGTGAATGGATAGTTGTTTGGTGCGACACAGCAGGACCCTGATATAAGGATTAAACGGACACTGCCTTCAACAAATCAGACGAAGTCCAGAGCCGTTTTGTCCAATCAGAGCAGAGCAGGGCGGGACTTTCAGTGAGAGCAAGTTTGGTTGAAGCAGCGGGCCGGCTCGACTCGAGCGATCAGTCCATACATCTCCTCCTGCGCTTTGCTCCTGAACTACCAGAGACTTTGGTCTGTAAAAACCTARCTTTATATTAAATATATGTTCAGAATGTTGTTATTGAACAAATCTGTCCAACTCTGTGTGAGTGACTAAACTCTCCTCCTGAGAGACTGCTGTATGAGTGCGTCGCTACGTGCGCAGGCTGAGTCTTTCTGTGAGATTCACTGAGTTCTTCTAATTAAACCACATTAACTAACAGAACATTTGTTTGCCCCATTTTAAAGCAAAAATGATTCTCTGTTTAACACCCCAGTCAAAAAAATTATATATATAAAAAAATAAATAAAAACAACTTGCCATGTTCTCTAGGTGGGTTTTAAAGGTTATTTTAATTTATCATAAAGATCCACAAATTTCGTTCACAATTTTATAAAAAAAACAAGGTTCTTGATTTGCTAAACTTGTTTATATCTAGAACCATACTGTGACAGCTGTTCTGGGATAAATGTAATTTATTAAATGATCAAATACGAAGAATAAATAATTACATGAGCTGAAACCATCTAAATAGTATTATCTTTWTGAATAAAATAGTCTTTTAAAACATAAATCAGTCTAACAAATAAAACATTTGAATGTTTTAAGTTATTTTGCTCTGTGCAAAAGACAGATATTTGCTGGTTGGACTGGAGAGTGTGGAAAGCTGGTTTAACCAAGGCTGAAGATGCAGAAGAACAAACAGGAGTTTTCCATCTGAGGAACATTGTGGTCTAAAAAACATTTAACCATGAAATGTTCAGTTTGTGATGTTTATATGACATACACCCAGCCCCTCGGCCACTTAGGTAGTTTACAAAATTTATGCAGAGTAAAAGAATAAAATAAAAACTCAGTGGACTGATTTGGCATGATGTCCTGAGACGTTGCTGCTGATAGGAGTCATAAAACAGAACAGGAGGATGCTAGATGACCTGACACCCCTCTAGATAAATGTGTTAAATGAGTGAAGGAA